ACGAAAATATTACCTTGTTGGCGAAGAAAATACGATCTTTCTTGTATCTTCCAGAAGGGTAAACCCAGGAGTTGCAATCGAAATGGACGGTTCCAAAGCCGGGAACATCCTCGAGAGTGAGGGACTTGAGGAAGAACTCACTTGTGTGACCATTTTTGATGAAGAAAGCTCCGGGGAATCCGAAGTCATCTTCCCATGTAAAGTTGACTTGAAACACTGATTCTCCGGCGAACAATGGTGGGAGTGAAGTGATCCACCTCTCTAGAAACGCCTTGCTCCCAAGCTTCCCTCGCGAGTCATTTGCTGTGGATATCATCCATTACAATTTGGTGACCAAATAGAGATAAAAAAAAGAGAGAGAATAGAGGAAGGGAAGGTTACAAGCATGAGTGGCGCTGATGAGCTGAAGAGAAACGCCGCCGCCCAACAGCTCAGTGAAGCTATCAAGAACAGAGGAATGGAACTCAGTGAAATCCAACACATTGCTTCGCATAAGAATGACTTTCCCTTTGATCTTCTTGCCACCAAGGCTGGTGACCCGGTCTGCAATGTTACCACCGGCACCGATAACGGCGCCGGCAAGATCTCCGGTGGTATTCAGAGCTCCCTCTATGATATTCTTTCCAATTCCAAACATTTTGGCTCTCTTTTTCTGTGTCTTAGTTGTAGTAGATAGAAGAAGATGGTGTGAGTGTGAGAATCAATCAATTTTGCTCTTCTATTTATAGCACAACAAAACACTGTTCTCTCTCTCTCTCTCTCTCTCTCTCACCTGCCCGATAAGCTTAATGAAAATAAAAATAAACCCACATGAACCTCATTATCACGTCCAATGATTCACATTTAAAAAATATTAGTTTCATAATCACCTTGGGGATTGAGTTTCAACAAAGTGGCCATGAGAGAAATTTGTTTAGAAAACTCATTTTTCACATCTTTTACACGTGTTTACTAAAAAAATCATCAATAATTGTAACGACTCTACTCACTACTTATAGTTCTTATTAATGTTTCATGCTCTGCTAAGATGTGGAATATAACTCTTCAAATAAAACATCATCTATAATATAAATGTTGAAAACGTTTAAAACATCTTGTATCTCTGGAAAACACAGTCATGATCTTACATGTTTAATACAAAATACTGAAATTTAAAGAAAATAAAAACAAATATAAAATAATTTAAATCAATGAAATGCAAAGTGACCTATTCTAACCGAACTAGGAATTTAAATATGCATTTACCCTATGCTCGTGCCATAGTCTCTGCTCCCGATGTCGTCATCACCCGAACATGGGCGCCTTGTCTTTACCTAAAAATTGATGTAGCACACGGCTTGAGTATTTCGAAGAATACTAGTAAATGACCGCACTACAGGGGTCATGCTAAATGCAATCACATGCAAATATGCTTTAGGACCTATCTTTATCTCACCTCATACTAGGGGTGATCTCTAGCCTGGACTACTATGGATGTGGAGTACTTCCCTACACACGATCTACACGTGCGAGTGTGAATCTTCGGGTGATTCGCACAACCCTTGAACCCTCTCTGGTCAAGCTACCTGTCTGGAGCAAACGTCCAGAGGTCAGCGGACCCCTGGTGTCATGCTCACCATGATCACTCACATCATCCTACTGTGCATGTCCGCACTCATTATGTCAAGGTGAAGTATCCCTATGCTTATGTACATACAACATGCATGAGGTCCCTCTAGTTCTCGTCTTAACATCTCTTCTGACACAACCAAGTCTCATCTCTCTGTTACATTTAGTAACACATGTTCGTTGGATATTTATATTAATATCGTTTTCATGCTCTTAGGATTGTGTTCTAGGTCGATCTATCGACATAATGCAATATGACATTCTTCACCATACAACATGCTTAATATGGACATCATCATATTAAGGTAAACGTCATGCAAAAACATCATACTCATCATAACACCATTAAGTGTATCAAACATGTCAAGTACGTCATACATCGTAAAATAACTCATGTACATCATCATGTATCACAACTTTTTTTGTTGCAGGTGGACACGTGGCTGCACCAAAGCGAGTCACATAAATGCAGACGTCTTGGGCCTCAGGTTTGAGAGGCAAGCAAGGGTCGCGGGTTACGACTAGGCTGGGGCACTGTAGTTTGGGCCTTGGTGCTACAGCGAGGGTCGTGGGTTGCAAATTGGGTCCGACACTAATGTTAATTTATTTAATCTTGTATTTTAGTATTTGTGGCTAGTAGCAAAGGAAGTTAGTGTAGGTTATTAACCGTTGTTGCGTAGGTTATTAGCAGTTTTTTTTCTCTTCTGTCTACATATGTGTACAGCAAGTTGAAGAAGGACATGGTAGTTGGTTTTACTTATTTTCCTGAGTGTCGTCTCTTTCTTGTATGAGTGTGTCTGACAACTAATCTGTCGGACCCTTTCTTCCTTGCCCGATTTTCTGCGCGATTTTTCAATTTGTTTTCTCTCTCCTTCCCGCGACTATTTCCAACGTTCTCTTCTGCCGTTCTCCTCCTCAACCTCTCTGTTAGACCTTCTACTCATCTTCCACGAAGTTTCGTGGTTGTTGGACATCTGTGGAGGTAGGTCAGAGATTCTTAAAAAATCCAAAATTTGAATTCCTTCTCCGACATTGACGACGATGACAACACGGTGTAAGTTTGCTTTGGTTGTATGTATTAAGGCCGGTGGTCACTTTCGCGGTGTGGGCTGGTCGATTTAGGCGTCAGGGCTGAGGGTGTTGGATGATGGAAGTCCCACATCGACTAATTTAGGGTGTGATCATGGGTTTATAAGTGAGGAATACTAACTCCATTGGTATGAGGCCTTTTGGGGAAGCCCAAAGGAAAGCCATGAGAGCTTATGCTCAAAGTGGACAATATCATACCATTGTGGAGAGTCGTGTTCGTCTAACAGAGGGTTCGTGGTCCTTGGATCTATGGGTTTTGCTCGCCAAAAAACTTTGGTGTTTTCTCTATTTCCCGGTATTCTCCTTTCTTTACTTCCTTGCAGGTGTTTGGGAACGCTAAAGGAGGGAGGGGAGGTTGGATTTCGATTTGGGCACATCGTAAGAGTCGTGGAGTGTGTTTTCGCGCAAGTCGTGAAAATTCCGACCATTGAGTTTTATTTTTTTTTTTTTTTTATAATTATGGAACGTTCAAATAATACTTACTTTCTAACACCCTCTTGCTTCAAATAGTAAAAATTGAAGTGTTCGAACTCTTTTAATTAAATTATAAGTTTAGTTTTCAAATTTGGAAGTTGATGTCTATTTAGTTTTTATTTATTTATTTATTCTACTTTACATGTTTAATATGTTTCTAAATTTAAAATTGGTATTTAATAAACTTCCAAATTTAACAAAAATGTTAATTTTTAGAATTGTTTAGATATTTTAATTTTTTATTTTTATTTCATTGGTCTTTGTACTATTTAATATATTTTTAAATCTACGAATCTAACCATAGCTACTCGATACGAAATTTAAAGTCTAAGATTTTATTTAATAATAGATCGATTAATTTCTAAAATGTTCGAATATGCGAGAAAATTATTAGATTAAATATTAAAATTGGAAGAAATTATTAGACAGATTCAAAAGTTTACCTTAAAAAAATTATTTATTTATTTATGACTGTCTTTTTCAAGAAAAAATTTGTATTTTCTGTTGGATCTATGCATCATGAAAGTTAACGAAGATCTATTTTTAAAATGTTTTTTAATCAGATACTTTTTCAAAAATCAATTACAAAACGAACACACTTCTAGAAACCATTTTTTTAAATGCTTCAAAACGTGTTTGCAAAATTTAATTTTTTTTCAATATTTAATTTTGTCTAATAAAATCATTAATTATTAATAAAAATCCAAAATAAAAAATTGATCTTATAATTGATTAAGACGGTC